TATGGATCTCACTGGATGACTTTGGGCCAGTCATAGAATCTCGGCCCAACCTGCCTCACAGGGTTTTTGTGAGGGTAGGATGGCGAGGGAGAGGGGGAGAATGATGTAAGCTGCTTTGAGTCCCTTGAAAGGGAAAAGGTGGTATATAAACATAATAAAGTCAAACTGGGGATGTGATCAGCTCTTGGGGTACAGAGCAAGCTGGAGCTTTTCTGGGGGAGGTTTAAGGATTAAGTGAGTTTTAACTGATGTTCAGTCGTCCGGCAAGGGACTAGGAACAGGAACAGAAAGGTGTGAGAAAGCAAATCCCACAGAATGATCCAGCAATGCAGAATATCAGCGTTTTGCAATGCACCCCCCCAGCCAAAAATATGCCGTATCTAGTCCATTTTAGCACACAGGAGACTTCTAGTAAGATATGTGTTTCTCCAGCCCTTCCCTGAAATGTGCTCAAGACTAACTTTTATCTCTGTTCCATGAAAAACAATGTCTTTATCATGTTACTGGCAGTGCATGGAGAGAAATCGTATTGGGCTGATCGTCTAGGACGTGCTAGAGCAGTTTTTACGAGCGGCTGTGGCCAACGATTCGGTCATCCATCCTCCCCCCTCTGGGCTCCATACTCACGCACGGACCACACCAGGGTTAGAAATCCTGTCTGAGCTCTTCCAATTCAAGGTCATGGGGATTGCTTAAATATAATCTCCTTTGCTCTGCTTACACTTCCTACAGTTCGCCATTCCAGCCTTCTAAAATTAAATTCCTGGGGAAGGTAAACCTCCCAGACCTCGGCATACTGCAGGTAGAGGCTGACAAGTTGGGGCATTTCTCCAAATAAAATGAAAACTACCCCAGCTCTGTCTTGAGAAGATGACGCATCGGGGAGCAGAGCTCAGCGCAAACCCTGCTCCTTCCCGGGGGATTTCTTTGTGCCGAGCGGGTGTTCACACCGAGGGCCTTCCAGCCATGTGCAGTCTCTCCTGATGGCTGAAGCCACGCGGCCTGGACGCGGATCCACCGTCTTGGCGAGACCCGGGCCTCCGTGCTGCTTGCGAGATGGCTGCGCACTAAGAATAGCTCGCTCTAGCTGGGCCAGGCACTGGTGTGTTTGTGTCCTTACTGTGCCGTCTCGCGTAGCCGCCAACCCTTCCTTTCTGCTGGTGTTGGCATTAGTGTAGCAGCCCCATTAGGGTGCGACTTTCGCCCCTTTTAAGCGGCTGCCACGTGCCAGATCGGCGTATGGCCTCAGGGTGATTAAGGAGGGAGCGCTTACCAGATGTTCAGAGAAATTTCCACAGGGTCCAGTGCAGGGCAAGAAACCTTGCTTTCTAAACTTGGCGCTCATTTTGGGCCAAACTCATGTTACGTGAAGTCATGCTCTTGAGGGAAACAGCACCAGAATCAGGAGCAGAAGAAAATTCTCTCTTGCTCTCTCTTTCCCTGTGTGTGTGTGTGTGTGTGTGTGTGAGAGAGAGAGAGAGAGAGAAAAGGAGGAACAGTTGTTCTCTTGGAAGGGTTATAAAGCATGCTTTTCGCACACAAAGCAAAAGAAATGATTTTTCTCAGGGAAGTGTGTATAGCTTGTCGATTTTAAAGGGCTGTGCCCAGAGGTTTTAGCATGCAGCTCTCAAGCTTGGAAGGCATTAAGTCATTCTGACTGAAAACTCTGGAGTTTAGCTCTTGCCAATATGCGTGGTACACTATCAACCTCTTCCTTACTCTGGGGTGGCGGGGAGGTAATGCCAGAAGAAGCCCTTTTGCCCAGGAATGATCACTCAGTGATGCAGCTTTGCCATCACCATGCAGATAACATGTTATTTTTACTACTGCTTATTATTGCATGCATCTATTAATTATGTTTATATGCTGCACCCACATCCAGCAAGACTGTCTAGGCAGCTTACGGTGAGTAATAACACCAATAATACAACCACTAAAAGATAAGATCCAGTTAATTTTTTAAAAAAAATGTAAATTAAAAGCCAAACATTAAAACAATTCAAAAGAATCAAATCAACATTTTTAAAGTAGGCATTAAGAACGGTATTTAATGTTTTTAATAAAAAATAAAATGTTAATAAAATTAATACAGGATTTAAATACAATCTGGGCGTTGAAAAGCACAAAGGACAGCAGCAAGATCAATAAGACATGTTAAAAAAATTAGTTACCGAAACATCTGTGGAAAGGAGGCAGCGCTACTTATGGCAAAGTGGAGGGCATTGGGCAGAGATGTATTTTATTTATATTTAGTATACAGTAATATTTGCATATTGTTCTTCATTGGAACAAATCCAGAAGTAGGGCTGCAAAAGAATTCAAGTGTGCAGATATGCCCCAAAACTGCTTATGGTGTAAGCGCTTTGCATCTTAGGAGATAAACGGAATAATGGAATATCTTGTCTTCTGCGGGGTTTTAGCCCTGGTTTTGAAACTGCTCAAAAACCCTTAGATTGCGCGATCCTACCCTACGAGCCTCTCCAACGGAATCCCGAAGTTTGCTTCAAAAATTCAGTGAAACCTTTCCGGCAAGTCAGCTTGAGGACAGCATTTCTCTTAGGGCTGTTTTTTCTCACGCCACCCACACCCATTCCGAAACCCAGCAGGTTTTCTTATGATCCTGGGTGCGAGCCAGCCGCTGGTGTGAATTCACAGCGTGTTCCGAAATGTAGTTCAGACACCGGATTATGTGAGAAGGCAGCGAAATGATGAACACTGCTAGTTATTCTCGCATAATTATGCAAACAGAGAGACTCGCTTGCACCCCTGCCAGGGCTTAAAGCAAGTGGCTGGGTTCAGGGAATGCAGAACTACCCCAGTATGGGGCAGTACACCTGGAGGGAGCCAGTTTGGGAATAACAACAATAGCTCAGTTATTATCTTAATTAGTACCTTAGCCAGTTTGCCGTATCTGCTCTCGCTTGGCCGTGTCTCGTGAAAGGAGATCTTGTTGCTTTCATTCCTGAGATTAATTAATTAATTAAAACATTTTTATGCCGCCCCATTCGCCGAGGGAGATGTGTCCATTTTGCCAGCCAGATGAATGTGCCCTAATCATGAAATTACACAAAACATTTTAAAATTCTTCTAAACACTTGTATGGCCTATATTTTATTTCGTACCTGGGCAAAGACATTGTTTTGGTCTTAGTTGGCTTGGAGTAGTATTGACCTGGGACGGACATAATTTTCTGCTTGCCAGGCATGGTACTGTGTATTTTGAGGCACCTGCCAAAATCTATACCCTTGGGTCCATGTGCACCGCCCTTGGGCACCTCTCTCTTTGGGAGTAGCCGTTTAAATTCCCCACAATGCCCTGGCACAATCCTGTCCGGGCAGGTGGTGGGAAATGAAAATGGTGGCTCCCAGACATAGGCCTTTGGTTCACCCAGTGCCGGATGAGCCTGTCAGGACCCGATCCGGTGGCCCTTAGCTGATGGCCATGCCAAATGGCTTCCCTTCGCTATGGGCTGTTCAGACGGAGGGACCACAGCAGACTTTGGCGTTGTGTAGTAAAAAAGATGTAAGAAACCCTTTCTGGGATCCCTGGTCTATCCCACCTTGGACTGTGCAGACCCCTCCTTCTACCGATGGCTTTGTGTTAGTGCCGCACCTCAAGAACCGCTGCTGGTCCCTTCCTGTGACTCGTTCGAACCCTGCACCCCCCAACAATCTTCCGTGGGAGTCCACTCAAAGAACAATTTGTACTGGTATTCAGATGTTCGCTCTGAGAAAGAGGGAGGGGAAAATGTTTTTGGAAGCATTCCCCAAGAAGCAGTTCTCTCACGCAAATACTTGTTAGCCATGTGCTCGTCTCATCTGGTGTTGAAATGATTTTCCAGAACACTCTGTAGCTCCCTCACTTCGTGACTTGAATCTCAGCCTGGTTTAAGTTATCCGTCTCTCCCCTTCCTCCCAGGATGCTTTTGCCTCTCTCTGTCTCTCTCTCTCTCTGCCTCCTACTTTTGGTTTTGGAGTGCAGGGCCTCTGCAACTGAGCTAAGAACGAGAGCTTACCTGGTTCGAATTTTGCCTCTTTCATATCTTACTCTGTGCTCTCAGGGATGGTCCAGTCTTAGCCACAGCCTCACCCTTTCTGTCATTATAACCTCCATTATTTATTAGTTAAGAGTAGGTGTCACGTCACACCTCAAAAAGCTGTCTTGAAGCCACTTACCTGCACAGCGAAGAAACCCAAATCAATATTCCGATAAAAATAAACTCCACAGAAGCATGATCTAAAAAGAGCACAAGAAGAAAAAGCACTCTTCTGCAAGGAACAGTGGCTTACCAAAAATAGGCACAGGTATAAAAAGAAACCTGTGAAAAAATGAGGACTAGTAATCAGGACTTACTTTATAATACGGCTGTAAGGTTTTTTGTGCCTGCTTTCTGGCTGACTTTCCCAGCCTTTTAAGGTGGCTTTATCCTGAAACCCCAAATGTGTTGGCACTGAGCTAGGAAAGTAAAGATCAGAATTTCCCACCTTTCGTTGTGTCCATTGATTCTGCACCATCCAACTTTTTGTGGTCTCTGCTTACCTGTGTGCATTTTATGTACAGTTTTTGGGTGGGCTGCTCATTGGGAGTGTTTTGGCACAGAAGCGGTTCCAGCAAAGATCACCGCACAATGCCGGTCATTGCCTCCCGAGAGCACTTAGGGCTGCCGGCATGCAAGCCCAGCCAGCTTTTCCTGTATTTGTCTCGTCACTGCTCAAAAGTTGGAGTGACTGGCCATCCAATAGGAAATAACTTTCTCATTCCTTTGTTCGGCTTAAAAAAAGCCACACACACACACACACAGCTGCCGAGGGCACCACATCGGGAACGCTGTTTCTGTGCCAGTGAAATTCCTGACCATGTCCAAACCACAAAGAGCGATTCATTCTCCCCCCAGGCGGGGGTGAGCGGAGACGTGAGTCCGTGAAGCTTCAGAGATCCTTCTGTGGGCAAGGCAGCCGCAGGGTCCTGCAAACGCTTTCCTCCTGCTCTCTTTTCGGCAGAAAATACCGGAGGAGCTGACCCTTGATGCCTTACTGGAAATGAACGAGTCGAAGGTGAAAGAGACCATGAAGAGGTGCGGGGCCAGTGTGGAAGACTGTTCGCGGCTGAACGGTGCCCTTGCCTGCTTGCGGAAAGTGACCCGGGCAGGTAAACCACTTCCTTCTCTCTGCCAGGAGATCTCGTTTGCGGGAAGGGACGCGGGGCTCAAACCAGAGCAGGCATTCCCTGAGAGATGCATTTAGGGCAGGGGGAATTCTACTTATTATGTCGGTGTGGAGAGCCGAGGGAGGAAATGAGGCCAAGCTGGGTAGGGAGAGCAAGGCAAGAGTTCTGCTCACAGTGGGCTCAGATTTTGAGCAAACGGGGAGACAAGGGTGAGAGGAGAGGGCAACGGGGATGGAGTGGTGGATCTGGGAGGACGTGCCATGTACAGTGCAGAGGTTGGGCATAAGCTGTGGTTTTCCCCCGTCATCAATCTACTGGGTGGGGAGGAATGGACAGAGGGAGACAGAGACAGAGAGAAGGGGTGGCCAAAAGGGGGGAAGGGTCCCACCCGGAGCCCCCTGCAGTTTGGACATGGGGAGAAATTCGTTCCATCTTCCTGCAAACACATACCCCGTTTGCACCTGGGAAGCCACACTCGGTGATCCTTCGAAATGCACGCTGCTCCCAGTTATGCATTGGAGCTCTCCAATCCGAAAATGGGCTCCTAACAGGGCATCGGGAGACCACCGGAAGGGGTGGGGCTTGCTGAGTGGGGTGGAAAAGTGAGCAGCCTTCCAATTGCACTGCTCTAGAGCAGAAAAAAGGGGGGGGGCTGGAATGGGGGATTCTGGGACTGCCTGCTTGTTGGTCCAGAGTCCACTCTGTCTGCGGCGAGTGCTTAATGATGCTTTGACCTCAACACGCAGGTGCGGAATCCAGGGATGACTCAGTCTGGCACCAGCCGGGCACGTGCCGTGAAAACAGCCTGATGCCCCCCCCCGAACTGCCTCCCTGCCCCATGGGGCTCTCTTGGATGCACGGCAGCTTGCCGCTCCTGAAGGGCAACGGCCCGCAGCCCCGCTCCGTCTCAGTCTCTGCGATCCTGTCGTCGGACACCCTGCCCTTGGGCCAAGGGCCCCCTTCCTCCACCGAAAGCCTCCTGGAGTCATTCGCGTTCCCCACCCCGTGCGGGAGGCGCAACCTCCGCACGCCGCACAGCATCACCATCACGCCGCCCGCCACCCCCCAGCTCAAGAGGGGCAAACCTCCGCGGACCCCTCCCCCACCGAGCCGGAAGGTTTTCCAGCTGCTGCCCAACTTCTCGACCCTCACGAGGAGCAAGTCCCATGAATCCCAGCTCGGCAACCGGATCGACGAAGTTCCCCCTGCAAAGTAAGGGTCTTCCCAGTCCCACTGCCACCCCATTGCGGAATCAGTGATATGCAACATTGACTGTTTCTCTAAAGAACTTATATAAGTTCTTTTTATATATTATCAAATATTATCTTCTATATTTTTAGTGTTTTATCCCACCTGCCAGTCAAAACAAGGGTACAGTACAAAGATAGTGCTTATGAGAGTCTCTGCCCATAGACTTATAAACTAAAGTCTCAGTACAAAAGGAAAGGGGGTTGGGAGGGAGGAGGAAAAAGCACTAGATCCTTAGTTGCATAATTCAACAGGTGAGAGCTGCTTCTGATGGCTTCAGCAGCAACAGTGGGAGCAGGGACACTCTTAGCTGGAGGTGGGGGCCAGTTAGCAATGTGCTTTTAGTTCTTAGCGATAAGTGTACGTTGCTTTTAAATGAGCAGGTGGCGTACCCAATAAAATGCAAAATGTGTGCAGCCAATTAACCCTGGGCCCACGTGAGGTGAAGGAATTCCCATGGACAGGTTTCGTAGAGCTGTCTCCTGCCATGCCCTCCACATCATTCAGTCACACCAGCCCCCCCCCCCCCGTCTATTCCCTACCCTTGATACAGACACATCCCCCCCTCACAGCAAAGCTATTTTGGCACTTCCTCTGCTAGGAATGCTGGGATGGGAAGACCAAGTGTCCGGAGGCCTCTTTCCTTCCTCTCCCACTCCACAGGGTGGCATTTTTGGATTGCAGAAACTTGGGTGGCCCCCTGCTTGGGATGCAGACAGGTTGGGGTTCCATCCCTGCACATCTCCAGGCCGGGCTGGGAAACCTCCCACCTGGGACACTGCTGGGCAGTTGAAGCAGAGCCAGGTGTGGGGCTGAGGGTGGGTCGGAGCCATCCGTGCAACTGTGTACGCAGGTGAATTCTTTCCCCCTCCCAGGTCTCAGTGCTCAGGGCTGGAGAAGCTTCGACTCTGCTGAGATCAAAGCATGGGATACATGAGGACGGACACGGAACAGGCCCCTGCAGTTCCGATCGAGAGTTTTGGGTCCCTCCCTGGGTGGACGGGCTGCAACGCCGGCCCATTCCGGCAATCCCTGTCCCAACTGCTCTGTTCCAGCAATGAAGGAGCTGCCGCACCTGCGCTGGGATCTTTGCAGGGAGTCTCAGGCTAAACGCCACAGCAAAACAGGGATCTGTTGGAGCAGCAGGGAGAAGTGTCCGGGACACGCCAGGGCCCCGTGGGCTGTGCAGAGAGCAGTCAAGTACCCCAGGCAGGCTGACGGTTGTGCATCTGAGTTGTCGGGCTCCAGTCGGGCAGTCTCGCCTGCTTGCCGTGCGTTTCTGATTCATGCGCTCCCACGATTCACGGTTGTTTTCTTTGTTTGCTGTCTTTCAGATTCGGTAAGAGATGCTTAATTCTGGCAATCCTTACAGCGGTTCCGGAGAGGGTTGGAAGTCCACACCTTGTTGCTGTTTGTCAGCTTTTCACACCCCCAAAGACGTTTGGCAGCGGCTTGCTTTGGAACTGTAGGACGGGGCCGTGGGGGCAGGTGCTGGTTAAAAGCTCTCTTCCAAAAGTGTTCAGTCTGAAGCTTCACAACCCAAAAGACCGTGAGTGGGGCCAGATTGGGCCCAGGTATAAACCTGAGTTTTTCCCGAGAGAGAGAGTGTGTGTGTGTGTGTGTGTGTGTGTGTGAGAGAGAGCGAGCGAGCGAGTGAGTGAGCGCAAGCAGGGGAAAGGATGTAACTGAGGGCGTTATAACAAAAGGAATAAAAGGGCACTTGGACCCCTTGCTGTGTATTCCTCCACGTAATCTCCTTGCCAGACTCAGTTACGGTTTCAGAGCCTGATTTAATCCGTTCTTAGCAGTAGTCCCTGTAAAAATTCCCCCTGCAGGGCACCTAAGCTGACAAGGTGGCAGGGCATGAAATGGGCACAGAAGTGGCCCTGAGAAAGAGATTCAGGGGTGCAAGGCAGAGAATCACTCCTTGGTCTAAAAGTTAGATTCCTTAATCCTGCTTTCGGTATGATTAGGACTGACTTGAGTTTTAGACTGAAGCTGGGGAAGCCAGTGTGGCTTGGCAGGCTTCTAATCTTGCACTAAAATTCTGATCAGCCTAACTCTTGGCCATGCGGACTGGGGCTGACAGGAGTTGGGGCTGAACCCTATTTGGGGAGCCCAGCTTCTGTTCTAGACAAGGGGGGTGGGCAGAACCTGGTTTGGGCAGCCCCTTCCCACCGATTGGTTGCTGAACTAGTTTTCGCAGAAATGACGTGATTCAAAGCCTTGCCTGGCACTGGGGAGCTAAGCTGAGCAAAGTAAACACGGATGACTTGGTTCGGGCATGGGAGGAAATTCCAGCAGCATGAGTTTGTTGAGATGCTTCATCTTTCAGAGGGTGTTAGGTCAGAAGAAACAGTCATGCAAAGCTGTTCTCGAAGGGCTTCCTCTTTTTCTAGCTGCTGAGAAGAGGCGAAATTCAGCCTGCTTGTTTTCTCTCTTGCTGCATGTCTTTTGGGACTGCAATCACTTCGAACTGTGTAGCCGTTCACACACAGCCCTTGCTTGTTGCTCCCTGCAGCTGATGCCCTGAATTCAAGTCTTAGGGTTATGGATTCGTGGAAGTCTCCTTCGAGCCTTAGCTCCAAGTCTTAGCTCCTTGCTCTCTCACCTCTGCTTGAATGCCTCCAGCAAAAGGGGCACTGTGGCTGCTAAAGCTGATGTTACAGTTGGATTGATTCAAATGCTTTGTCGAAATTCTTACACTTTATGATCTGGAATGTGCTGAGCTGCAGTTCTGTGCCCACTGACTCAAACAGTGGGGCTTATTTCTGCATGGATGGGCTCTTGGAGGGCATCTACTCCAACCCCCTTTTTGACAGAGAGGATGCAGTTCTGGCTTAAATCCCTCCAGGGAAAAAGCGCTCTTCCAAAGCAGTCTTTTCTGGGTTGAATGGTTCGTACCATTAGGAATCTGTGTCCTTGCCATTTCCGCCCACTGGTTCTAGACTTGCCTGCTGGAGCACAACAAAATTACTTTGCTATGCACACGTTCCTTCCCAGTTATCTTTTCTTCGTCGAGAAGGCAGCCGTGTTAAAGTTCCCGACAGCTTATCGCGGGAAATCATGGCAAACCCTTTGGGTTCTTGCATAAATTAACTCATTTATGTGCTCTGCTGAATTCTATGTAGTAGGGCTAACTTTTTCATTTCATAACTGATATCTTCTAGATGTTTCAGTGTCATAGCTTGATGTAAGTCGTAGATTTGATTCTGTGGCCCATCTTTTCACATGTTTGTGCAAGGTTCTTGTAAGTCTTAACACATTCACTCTCACAGTAGTTAGAAACATAAAAATAGAGCGAGTCAGAAGGGGTCTCTCAGGCCATCTAGTCTGACCCCCGGCTCCAGCCCGCTCGGCTCACAACATGCCCACCATGTGCATGTCCAGCCTATCTTTGAACACCCTCACCAGTGGGGCCTCAGCCACCTCCCATGGAAGCCTATTCCACACCCTCGGGGTCCTAACTGTCAGGAAGGACTTCCTGGCATCCAAATTGAACCTTGGCTCCCTGAGCTTTGCTCCGTTGGAGCGCGTCCTGCCTTCCTCTGCAGGGGAGAACAGGTCTCTACCCATCTCCATGTGACATCCCCTCACATACCTGTGTGTCGCCAACAGATCCCCTCTGAGTCTCCTCTTCTCCAGGCTGAAGAGACCCAGTTCCCTCAGTCTCAGAAACATAAACTATGTTTAGTTGTATTATCAGAAACATGAACTATGCAGATGTATTGTAGAAGGACTAAATTTTGATGCATATGGTAGGTCTCTCCTCTGATGTACTAGTCTCCTAATACTTTTTATTGTTTAAAAGAAGTATAAGGTTAGTATTCAGACAGTAAGTGTGAAGTGTAGCGGTTTGTGAACCAAAACTAACGTCTTACACTATTTGACACTTGGGGTGTAGATTGCAGTGATATTAGTAATTTAAATATGAAATGTAAAGGTTTCAGAAACATCTGTGGTTATGAGTTATGATTATATGAGTCGCAGGGTTTGAAATTTTGGAAGGCTTTGTAGAGACCGTTACGAGCATCAATTTGTCATTTCTGCCCAAGAATTGAACCATATGACTTCTTCGATCTGATGAAACAGATCAAAGGGTGAAAAAACAAAAGGAATGGGCAAGGGTCAGGGAAGATGAGAAATGGTGAGGAAGCGTGCGGTTGAGGCTTGCGTCTTGTGACCCATAGAATCATAGGGGCCTTTTCGGTCCTTAAGGCCAACGCCCTGCTCAATGCAGCTGTCCAGTTTAAAGCATCCCTGACTGTTACGTATCCAGCCATCTGCGTGGATATTTCTGGCTTTCAGGATCTTCTCTATCCCATGCCTCTTCTCATGCACATCCTGCCTCGTATATCTCTAGATTGTGACAATTATAAAAGGAAAAAGCTGAGTTTGGAGGGAGAAGGTTTGAGCTGGTTAGAAAGTGGCCGTTAGAGCTCAGAATGGTAGCCATAAACGGAGTGGAGCCTGGGCACGAAATTCCACAGAACACCGTATATCCCAATGTTCAGAACGCTTCCAAGACAACCTTTTCTAGCAGCGTCTGCGATCTTGAAATTCGCCAGGATGCATATTCCAAGTGTGTCGGATGCTTTGCAGGAAATGAGTTGGCCGTTGCGGCATTCCCATCACACAACCCAGCCGGTGATTTGCCAGACCGATCTTTAAAAACAAAAATTAAGAGCACATAAGCTCTGTGGTTTTGAGAACGTGAGAATCTGGTGCCATCTAGAGCCAGGAGAGGATGACAAAGAAGAGAGCGGATTTGGAGAAGCGGCGGCCAACACGGAGTGCTGAATCCAGGACGCTTGAGTGTTACATTTGTGGCTTGCGTCCTCCAGGCATCGATATTGCCCAAATCTGCTGCTACATCAATCTAACAGTGGCCCTCTCGTTCATCCCACGTGCTCCTTGGGGGTGTCCCTTTTAATTCTCTGCATTGCTGCTACCAGAGTCGCTGTGAGGCGTTTTTGGGTGTTAAAATGGCGGGGGAGGCAAGGCTAGGCTAGGGCTAGGGAGGGGGAGAGAGAAAAAGACAAGGGTGTGGAAGGGAGAAAGTGTGGGGGCATCTCACTCTGCTTGGGTAGATTTCTAAGTAGGCGTTCTCTGGTGCTTTGGGTTGTGCTAACCCTTTTGCTTCTGGAGGCCCCAGGTGGGCCACTCTTGGGCCAGGACTGTGTAAACACAGACACTTGGGAGCATCAGAAATGGTTTAAGAAATGGTGCAATCCAGAGCAGGAATTCGAAGCAAAAAAGGGGAAAAAGTGCAACTCCGTTTTATTATGGGCAAAGAGGATTACCACGCAGTAGGACGATATGGGATGGAATTATTGAACAGTAATGCCCAACTCTCCCAACCTAGTGGCTTTTCGAAGTTTGGGACTACAGCTCCCAGCATTCCAGGCAATTGGTCATGCCAGCTGGGGCTGATGGGAGTTGGCACCCAGGACATCTGGAGAGCGCCAGGTTGCATGACTTTCATGCAAAGCCAGCAGAGGGAGATGCAGCCCAGGCCAGGGGGCAAGCTGATGTCAGCTCCGGGAATTGCTTATGGGAGCGTAGCTGAGTGGAACAATGTGTGAATTGTAATGAGCGAGTTCACAAAAGTTCAGCCACTGGTCTTACGACTGCAGTTGCGGTCTGCATCTTAGGCAGCCTCGTAAGTGGCTTCTGCTCCTGGAGGAAGGTCTTTGCACATCCTCCTCGTGGCGAGGTTAGAACCCGTTGCATCCCATCAGCAGCTGGTCATCCCCGCGCAAACCCTCTTTCTTTGTGCCCGAAGCGCATCGGCCGGTCCACCCTTCCCCATCTGGTTCCTTCCTGGTCTTGTGGATTTCCATTTCTGGAATTTCTGACCGTTGACAAAGGCTGTTTGGGCTGATGGGAGCTGGAATCCGGAACATCAAGGAGGCACCAAGATCGTGTAAACCCTCCCCAGATACCCCCCTGGTGAGGCTCCTTGGGCACTGGGAAAGATCTGAGATGCGGCATCCGTCTATCCCTGCTGGGTGTCGCCTTTCACATGGAAGCATTTGCCTTGATCTCAGGAATGTCCTTTGTATGCAGGCCCATGCATGGAGCAGTGATCGTAGAAACAGAGTGGGTCAGAAGGGGTCTCCTGGGCCATCTAGTCTGACCCTTGGCTCCAGCCAGCTCTGCTCATGATATGCCTCCCATGTGCATGTCCAGCCTGTCCTTGAACACCCTCACTGTTGGGGCTGCAACCACCTCCTGTGGAAGCGCATTCCAAGCCCTCGGGGTCCTAACCGCCAGGAAGTATTTCCTGGCATTCATAGAATAGTAGAGTAGGAAGGGGCCATGAAGGCCATCGAGTCCAACCCCCTACTGGTACAGGACACCACGTTACACCATCTCTCAGATGGCTGCCCAGTTTTTTTGAATGCCTCCAGTGTGGGAGAGCCCCCCACCTCTCCAGGCAGCTGGTCCCACTGCCCTATTGCTCTGATCGTGAAGAAGCTTCTCCTGATGTCCAGCCTGAATCTGGGTTGCTGCAACTTGAATTGATTCTTCTGTGTCCTACACTCTGGCATCAGCAAGAAGAGATCTTGACCTTCCTCTTTGTGACAGCCTTGGGGGTACTTATAGAGGGATCTCATGTCCCCCCTCAGTCTCTCCTCACAGGGCAGCGTTTCCAAACCCCGGATCATTTTTCCTGCCCTCCTCTGGATCCTTTTGATAAAGGTGTGCTGTTGAAAGGAGAGAAGGAGAGACAGGCCAGGCTTGCAGATGTATACACATTGATTTCTGGGAAGGGATGTGGGCATCGCCATCGGAATACGTGTGTGCGCGCGGCTGAAAATGGTCACAAACAAGATTTAATAACACAGCAAAAACATGCTGGATCAAACTGTGGGTTCATCAAATTCATCCACTTGGTTCACGCAGTGGCCAACCCAAGGGGAAGCCCACAAGAGGGGCATGACTGTGACAGCACCCCCCCACGTGTTCCCCAGCAACTGGTGCATGCAGGCATGATGCCTCTGATACTGGGGGTGACATTTAGCCATCGGGTGTGGTTGATACCTTGCGAATTTATCCAGTTCATTTTAAAAGCCTCTCAAGTAGCTGGCCCCCATGATGTTTTGTGGAAGTGACTCCTGCGGTTTAACAGTGCACCATTTGACGACCACCTTTTGATCTGTTCTGGATCTTCATGGCAACCCCGGGTTCTGGTATTATGGCAGCAGGAGACAGATGCTCTCCTGGCCCCTTCTGCATACCATGAGCAATGGGTACATTTTTGCCAAGTTTCCTCTTTTCTAGGGCAAATGGGCCCAGATGTTGGTGATCTTCCCAACCATTTTGGTCATGTGTGTTGCTCTTTCCGGAGATTTTTCCAACTCTACCATGTCATATTAACTGTTATAATGCTTCTGTGCCATATAATAGAACCAAAGACGTTCTCTCGGATAAGTCAGAACAATACAACAAGGACATCAACGAAACAGGGCTGTGTCATGAACCGTTAGTGAGGCCTTCTACTGAGGGTGTCTCACCTGGAGTCAGCACTGCCCACCTGGAAAGGTGGTGGAGTCGGCTGCTGAAGTGCTTCCGGCTTAGTCATTCCGTACCCTGGTTGGTGCAATTAGACCTCCTAACCTGCCGCTTGTAGATGCTTGCATAATTAAAATAATGCACTGTCTTTTTACATTTTGGTTTCTTAGATCTCCCCCAGGGATCTCCTCAAACGGTACGAAGGAATATTGGTCTGTCTGTAACACACAGGTAAATACTCGAGAACCTTTGACCATGGTGAAGGGTGGGCTCAGGACCCTCACAGCCCTGGGTGGAAACTGGGGAGGGTCAGCCTTTCCCAGTTCTTTTGAAGCTGTGGTAACACCAGGTTGATTTTTTATATTCATGAACCCTTTTAGGAGTGTGTGTGTATGAGAGAAAAGCTCAAGAGGAGCATTCAAGTTGTCCCCCTAGAAGTTCCCTGTGTGTGAC